TCCGCCTTCATGACAGGACGTAAATTCAATGTGTATGATGCAATACATGGCTTCGTTCGTTTTAAACCAGGCCCACACACGGACTCAACCACCCTGCTGATTTATGTTTATGGGCTTGGCAAATATTTGCGGCACTTCAAAAGCATTATGATGATTATTAGCATTGTTTGCCATCGTAGTAAAACTGTCATACGTGTCTGGCTGACTGTTGCCCAACATTTGCACTCGAACAATATAGAAAAAGAGAGCATCGCCAACTGGAGCTCCAACTGTAGCTATAAATGTAGCTGTAACGGACAAACGTGAAACGTGACCGACGTGATGTTTATGCGAAAACATTCCCCCATCATCTGAATAAGTGCGATTGCTAGTGCGAGCAGCGGCATTAGCATCCGAGATCGGGATAAATGTACATAGCTGCAGAGGCATGCACATCATCATCGAATACCACTTGTCCTAAAAACGGAAATTGACTAATCGCCAAAGTAAGGCGCAACTTTGGGGAGACGCGTTAAAAGTGAACACGAATCGATGGCAGCGTTTGTCATCGCTTGCTGAAAGGATTTAAGACACCAGGGGAAATGATGCTTCAACACAGAAAAAAATTGTAAGCGCTGAACACCCAATTTTCAGGGTTGTGGAAGCTATCAAATTGTAAAACCTTGTCAATGGACCTCATTTGTCTAATTATTCTCCTTCTTTATAGCCTCACAATAAAAATTTATGATTTCGTAAAGTTATTGTTTTCTTTGCAAGTTCACTTCTATAATTAATTAATTCAAGAATTATAATTAATTCACTTTTATAATTATTACAGAGTATTATGAAAATTTTTAAATAGAAATTACTCATACCCTTTTAGATGAAATATATGTATTTTATTTTAAATGTAGGTAGATTTTTGGAAAGGAGACTTGCATCTCTACAGCCATCCAGTCCTAAAAGACTGAACAGCCAAAGTTCGGCATTGTAATACTTATTGAGTTGTAAAGTCTCGTTTTTTTAAATGAATCCCTTTCTTTTAGGCCTCAAAATAAATGTTTAATAATAAATACTTTATATAACCGTTTAGAGGTAACATAACCTATTTTGATTTAATTTAGGTTGGTTCTTAAAGAGAAGATTGTCATTTCAACTGCCATTCAAACCTTGAATTTCCTATTAACTTAAAAGTACACGATTTATGTACTGGTTTTGGGCAGTGGCTTTATGTATATCACTGGCAGTGTCTGCTCTCTGAGCCAATAGTCGCACCCAGAAGACAACTGCGTGACAATGCCTGGCCCCAGTTCGGGTCCAAAAGTAGAAATGGCTGGAAAACTTTGTGCCCCCCACCGAAAAAAGACAGCTCTGGAGGAACTTGACACGCATATGGCTGCACCTACAAGGACAACGAAAACGACACGGAGCACGGAGAACGGAAAACGGAGACAGCAGGAATCGCACCCTCGTCGCAGACGCCGCCATTTTCAGTGTAAATATTTAAACAATAATAAGTTGGCGGAAAAACGTGGGGTAGACTCTTATGTTGCCAGCGCGGCAAAGTGAGGCAAACTTTTGTTATCTTTTCACCATGAAAATAGCACGAAATTGAACAGAAAAACGCCGGCGGAGTCAGACGGTATATCAGGTTGAGAGGTGGTGGGTGGCTGGCTGGGTGGGCTGAGTTGGTTGGGTTGGGCGGGTGACAGGTGACAGGTGGCATGGGAGGCTACACATCGACGGGATTCGACAGACAGTCGGGCTGAAAGCATTGCACGTGCACTAATCATCACGGATGGCGGGCTCTTGGGGATTTTGGCTGGTGTATCACCTTTCATGTTTTCAATTAGCGTTAATGTCAGTGCAGCGCCCGATGAGCTGGATATATTGGCTGAAAACTATCTGTATTGGCACATGTTTTGTGTTTTATTTATGAAACCCTTCCAAACCAAATAAAGACTTGTTGGTTGACAAGCAGACAATAGAACATCATATCACCATTAAATTTCTGCATTTTTGGAGTGGAGTTTTAAGTATCTGGAAAGTATCATGAGCACGAAATTAGTCAGAAATATTATGAGTTAATGGGGGATACATTATACAAATTACTCAATAGAATTAGGAAATACAAATATAAAATATGCAAAAATGACTCCGGAAATGATAAACAAACTTTGTCTTACACTATTTGGTTAAGAAAATATATAGTTTAATACAATGCTGTTTGAGACGTGGGAAATTGCAGTTTTCAAAAGTTACTTCAACTCGAAATTAATTTCCGACAGGTTCAATCCATCATTTGTGCCCCCCCACCGCAAAAGCCAACTCCTATATTCATACCATAACTGCTCTATAAATATTATCCGGCAAAGTCTTACCTTTACCCCGAAAATGTCATTTGCATAACCGTCAATCATACGCCACGTATGGTGGCTCTTGGTGTTCCACCTTGTTTGTTTCTGCTTCACTGAGTGTGCACACACAAGATGCACAACCACCGCACAGCCATCGAACCGCCAGAACCCTAACCCACCATATGTTCGATGGCATTGGAAATTTTGCTCCTCGATTTGCGTTTGCGTTTTATTTTGAAATTGAATTTCAGCACTGATTATATTTTTTCCTTCTTTGGTTGGGTTTTAGGGGGTCCTGGGATACTGGGGTACTGTGAAACTGGGAAACTGGAACCCCGGGGATGCATTGATTGGGGGCGGGGTTCCCCGTTGTTTGCGTTTTCCGGCTGCCGGGGGTGCATAAATAAGCGCCACTCAATTATGCAGACTGCGGGCGAAGGAGCTATAATCCTTTATCCTTCTACCTGCGACGTGTCGATTTGATTTGCTTTGCAATTTATTTTTGAATTGCGCTGACAAGGACACACTTCGCGCATATGGTATTTATATAATATAAGACTTTCTTTGACAAACCGCTTGATAAGCTTTATGTAGTGGGGCGGAGAAAAACCCTCTCACCATTTTGGCCAATTTCGCAATTTAATATCGACATATTTACCTTCACACTTCAACTGCTTGGCTTTAATTTCAAAAGGTATGCCTTTATTGGTAATTTTTTATTTGCTGTAAATTGAGCTCGCAATTAGCAGCTTGATAAGAAATTGGGGGTTTTTCCTTTGGCTTATTTTTTTGTCGTCATTAGCTGGCATTTAAAACCTTTTTTACCGATGGAGAGAGAGGGTTTGGGTCAATGCAAATATTTCATTTGAAGTGACACAACGTTGAAAATTTGTCTGAATTCGCCCAGACTGAGGGCATTTAAATGTGGCCCATTACATTTTATATAGCCATTTGCCTTTGAGGTTTTGTGAGTAGCATTTAATTGCGAATTTCTGTTGGAAAAGTTCCATTTCACTCCGTCCTGGCCCCTCAACCTTTGCCCCGCTCGATTTTCTTACTTCATTCATTTCGGTTTACTTTCTCGCTTGTACGGCTTCAAATGTTCAACTCATTAAAAAGTGAAACAAAAATGGATTCGATGACAGCGGGGGCGGGATGTTAGTCTATTTACTCGACACTGCAGCCGTTTCCGAGCAGTCATTGGCTTTAAATACGGAAATATGCGAAGGGAAGCTTGTGTGAAGTGTGGCGAACTCCCAATGGTTTATTAAATATTTAATGACTCAACCACAATAATTGATTGACATTTGATTTAACTGTTTGATGTGCTCGAGCGTTGACATTCCGACAGCCCAATTATACGTATTAATTACATTTTTACTGCTGTCTGTTCGATGCAGAAATTAATTAAAATTAAGCCGGGGCAGAAATAAGAACAAACAAAAAGTGCCTTTAGGTGTAATTAAAAAACTTCATAAAATTATTTTTAAAATGGAATAAAAGACTTCTGGCGGAAAAAACGTTCGAAATACCATAACAAATTCATGCAAATGAGTGATGATCGCATTGATGACGGTGAAATTCGCAAAACGAAAGAAAAATGTCCTTCGGACACTCAAGCTGATGGAAAAATGTCAGCAACAGTTGGAGCCGCTAGTCGAAAATGAAATTGAAAATGAAAATATAAGCGCTTTCACTGCCTTAACTGTGAATCAAATTAAAATTGGGAAAGCGCTGGAAAATACAATGTGTATATATAATACATATATATTCTTATGCAACAATGTATGTATATGCTGGCATGATTTCAATTAAGTTTGCCATTGTTGACCAAGTAAGCAGCCTCTGCCACCCTGCAAGTCAGTGGATGAGCAGATGACCAGATGACCGGGATGCTCCTGCTCATATCGGGAATCAGCATATTTGCTGGACGTGGCTTTAACCGCCTGGCCGCACATAATTAGTGTCATTGGCAGCGATGCCAGCGAGTGTTGGTCAGCAAATATACATAGCTGGCGAAAGGTAATTTGGAGGCCCATGGCAAAGACAATTGCACTTTTGATAAATTGCCGCCTGGCAGCAACAGCTGCTGATCTTATTACCGATGACGTTAATGAAATATTTCCCAGCCCATTCACGGGGGCGTATGTGAGTCGAGTATTAATTCTGAATATTACGTATACGCACTGTTAACAGCAGAAGTGTGTCGAGGCTAAATGTTGGCGCTTAACAGAAATGACTGAAATACCCAAGTTAACACTCTTAGTTCATAACAGCGATTTTTCGCTAAAATAAAATTATTTTTTTTTAATATCCCAACTTTGTTATGTAGTAAAATCAAATTAAATTTCAAAATAGTAAACTTCCGATTTTGCGTGGGTATGTAGAATAGTCAATGGCTAGTACAATAAATTGCCTTGTTAATTTTAGTTATGCAAATAATTCTACCATAAAAATATGTATGATTTTCTTTAAATTGACTTAAATTGATTGACTCTGTGCCAGACCAATTATACATATCAATTACATTTTAAAAACAAAATTAATTTGTATAATTAAATCTTTTGGTGATAAATTCTTTGCAATAATTTATATATCTTAGTATTGATGTATAACTTATTGCCTAAATTTATTACCTGTAAAGTTTTCACAATGAAAATGGAATTTTGCGTATTATATTTATTTTATTTAGCTTATTCGTTTTATTTGACATGCAACTGAGAATATTAAATAAGACGAGCATTATAAGTTTGTCGTCACCTTAGTAAGCAACAACTCCTGTGTGGCTTGTGGCTTGCCATTTTCCGCAAACAATTTCATTTTAGCTATTGCTCTTTTTATTCTCCTCTCTGTTTTCTCACCGTTTCCTGGATTGTTCAGAATACTTTTCCGAATCCATTGGCAACAAATCGAATCGGTCGTTCACTTTAAAATTGGGGCATGAGGTGGGTGATCGGTTACCCCAAATGGCAACAAATTAGAGCTCGAACGGTTTGCCGCATTGTTCTAATTCTTCGCCTCGCTGCCGGTTGAAAAATCGAAATCACTCTCGCTGCCGCCCACGGGGGGCGTGGCCGAGTTGGGGGCGGAGGATGCGGTGGGTCCTGGATTTGCGGCCTGGATCGGGGTCGGTTTCACGCTTGAGCTATCATCCGTTTCGCTGCTGTCAACGAAATTAACGCGCTTCTTTTTCTTTAGCTGCTGTTGCTGCTGCTGCTGCGCATCATTAGGCGCCGCTTGTTTGTCTGTCGTGGAGAGTATTGACGTGGGTTTGAGGGGTTTATTGGTGACTGGTGGTTCCGGTGGTGCAGCAGCCGCCACAGCCGGACTTTCTGCCCCTTCCGGTGCTGCTATTTCGCCCACTGGATACGCTTCCTGCTGCTGCTGCTCCTGCATCAATTGCTCCTGTGCCGGCAACTCTTCGTGCTGCTCTTGCTGCTGCTGTTGCTGTAGCTGTTGCTGCTGCTGATCCGGTTGCTGTTCGTAGGCACTGTAGTCATAATTCTGCACCGCACCGGCATCGTAATCCTGGCCAGCGTAGCTGCCATCCGGCGCATATTGAGTGGCATTGGGATCGGCTATATACTGCCCCGTTGCCTCGTCGTATATGTAGCCCGGATAGGCATTGGGATCATAGCCGGATTCATATTGGCCAGCCTCGTAGTTGCCGTAATCAATATTGGAGTACTCCTGCGGCAGAACCTCTGCACCACTGGCATCGTCCGGTGCCTCCGTGGTGCCTGCCATTTCGGGAGGAACCTCGCCAACTGCCCCCGCATCCGCTGCGTACGGCTGATAGTCTGTGGGATTTCCGATTTCGCTGTAAAGCGGCTCCGCTTTTGCGTTTGTTGGCTGGCCGGCGGAATCGATGCTGGCATAGATGGGCTCACTGACATCGCCGTAACTGCTGGCATCGTATTGCCCGTAACCGGCAGACTCCGGCTTCGGTTGCTGCTGTTGCTGCTGCTGCTGCTGCTGCTTTTCCACCTCCTGGAGTTCCTCCGGCGATGTGTTGGTTACCATAGTTTCGAAAAATCCCTGCGTAGGTGTGTCCACCTCGCCTGCTGTCGCAGTAGCTCCTCCTGCACCTCCACCTCCACCTGATCCGCCCCCTGTCAAACGTTCGCCATAAATGGCATTTTCAATATTCTCAATCGACACACCAGCTGTGAGCTCATGACTCCTGGGCGGCGACAATTGATTACCCCTTGCCAGCTGCTCATCAACCGCAGCCGCTGCCTTTTCCAGGGCCGCCCGGCTGGCTTTGACTTCGTCCAGCAAATCGTTGCTGATGCCAACTTTGCCACCAGCCGCTGATCCCTGCTCACCGGAACGCACGTTCAAGGGGCGTTTGTCTTTGCGTGTGCCATCCTGCCAGGACTCATCGATTTTGAGCTCACCAAAGTATGCTTCAAAGTCGTGGGGCTGCTGATGTTGCTGCTGTGGCTGTTGATATTGCTGCTGTACCTCTTGATGTTGCTGCTGTTCGGGCTGCTGGCGTATCTGGTGCTCCTGCTGCTGCTGCTGCTGTTGCTGCTGCTGGTCTGGCCAACGTCGCTGGCCGTTATGCTCATTATGCCCAACAACAGTTGGTGATTTTTCATACTCGACTTTAGTCACGCGTGAATTTGTCCAGGCATCCAGGTCGCCGGTTTCCCTTTGCGGTTGCCCGCCCACATCCTGGCCAGAAGTTGTTCCCGCTCCTGCCGTCGGCAGCTCAGTTAACGTCAGCGAGGGCGAGGACGACGTCTTTGGCAATTTATCAAATGTCAACGAGGATGTGGCCAGCGTCGAAGAAGTGCTGCTAAGTTTCCGGGCACCCTTCTCCTGGCTGGAAGACACCGTGGATGTGGGTGTCGCTTCTGGGGGCATCCTTCCACTGCCACTCCCACAGCCACTGCCACTGCCACCCAGATCCGCCTGATAATCACCTGTCAGGAGAGGATGCATGCGCTCCGGTAAATCGGCATTCTCATTATCAAAGGCGCGCAGGGTGGCGCGCAAATCGAACAGGTTCGAGGTGCCCAGAGGAGCTGCAGTTCCGCCAAAGAGCTCCGGATAGTAAACAGGATGGCCAGCTGCATTGGTATGGGGGGCAGGTGGAACAGGACTTGCTGCGGCAAACTGGGGCGTCAACAGCATGCCCGCCTGCGTGGGCGTGGCCATGGCAAACGTCCACGGCTGAGGCGTCGGCTGCGGATTGGTCGCCTGCGGCTGCGGTTGCACCAGCACCGGAATCACTCCGCCCGCGGTTGCCGGCGCCGATGCCGTCGTCTGCTGGATGCATCGCATTGTTTGATTCTGCACCAATTTCGCAAAGTACATTTGGTACTGCAGCTGTTCGCAAGGGCAAAAGAAAGGGGAACTATAGATTAGCTTTTTGGTTTGTGCGCTCAAAAGCAAGAAAAGAAGTAATCTTCGGCAAGCCGAAGTGATGCTGACCAAGAATATATTTTTCTACTCTATTGCGTTGGTAATTTTTTACAGAAACCATAGTACATAGTACTTTTAAAAATGCATTCGTAAGTTTAAACAAATAAAAAATCAACACATACAAGCTAGTGTATTTTTTTAAATGGTATTTTATATTGAATTTAATCAATGTTTTACTTTACTCTTTTAAATTCATGTAGAGAAAAGAATCTGTAAAATAATAAGTATTTGCAATATTAACATAAGAAATTAAAATAATAATGGCAAAACAACATTTGTTTCTACGGGTTTTTATTTCAAGTATGAAGTATTATTCAGTGTGTAAAAGAATCGTTAAAAACTCCATTAAAACCCAAATTTATAGTTAATATACATAGTTAAAGTTCGAGTTTAGAACATTTTTTTATGAAAAATATTATTAATAATTCAATCTTTCAAAGCGATACCTTCATGTTTCTAAAATTCTTGGCTTCTGTTTTCACAGAATTCTGGGAGCTGAAGGCAAGTTGTTGAGTGTGGGATGACTTACCTTCATCATTTTAAGCCGCTCGCTTCGCTGCGACATGGCAGCCGTTTGCTCGTCGATGCGCTCCAGCATGTGAACCAGCTTTTTGTTGCGCTCGTTGCGCTTGGTCTGCTCCTCCAGGAACTCCTGGTACTTTTGGCGGCTCTTGTGGCGCACTGACTTGTCGCTGCAGTACAAATGGGGTTCACCTTTGAGAGAAAATGAACGAAAACGACAAAAGCTACTTACAGCTCGCTGCGCTTCTGCAAGACCTTATCCAACTTGTGCTCCAGCTGCTGGCGATTATCCTCGCTGCTCAAAGAAAGTCGGAGAGAGTCAAAGAACATAAATATGATTTGTAAGCGAAGCAGTTGCATATGCACATGAAAAGCTTCAGAAAAGCTGACAGACACAAATCAATAGACATGGCCTTTGCATGACTTACTGCACGCAAAAATCGAAATAAAGGGTAAAGTGCAGTCAAAGCATTGCATTTTCAGGACTTTCTTTATTTTATTTGTATGCTAGATATTTTTGTTAGTAGAAAACTTTTACGAATTTACGCCACCTGCTCAATATGTAAAACTGATTACGAACATGAGGGTGTGTTTTATAATACTTTTTGTGTTCCTTTGCCAATGCCAAGTAATAAAACAAAATTTGCTTTAATATGAGCTTAAGAAATAGGTAAGCTAAATGTTTTTCAAAAATTTATAATTAATTGAATGGCGTAAAAAAAAAACCATGTTTACAAAATAAAATTAAATAATTTAAAGCAACCCAATGAAAGTATAGTGTAAAAAAAGACTTTAATTGGTTTTATCATCTAACTACTTATTTTAGTAATAATTTTGATTTGCTCACCTGCGTTGTAGCTTCTCCTGTAGCAGCTCCACCTGCAGCTTGTAGTTCTCCAGCTCGGCTTGGGGAAACATGGCTTAAAAGGGGGAGTATAGGGGAATAATCTTCCGTTCCTTCTGGCCGAAACCGCTGCGAACTTAACTACTTGACGGCTCTGACTCAACTGGCCATATGCACTACAGCCCGCTATTGACACAGTTTACTTGCCACGGCGATATTAATGCGACAGTGTGTTCTATTTTAAGGCAACTTTATTTGAATGCCGCATTAAATACGTGTTCGTATGGGTGATTGCCATTTGTTTTGTTGAGTCGTGTTGCCATGGCTGCCCGGTTTCTTGGTGGTTCCTTTTGCGTATTTATTTTGGTGGTTGCTTGGCATTGGCCAGGGACATTTGGCCCCTATCGATTTCCCTCGACGGCTTTCCCAACGTGCCACGCATTGAGGAGCAAGCGGTAGTGGTGGTGCGGCAACTAACTTTCGATTTTTCGCCCCATGAATTTTACATTCCACTGTCATTGTTTTTGTCCGGCCTGTGGTATATAATTACACGCCCAGCAAGTGGGTCACTTCTTTCTCAACTCCAGCCAGCTTTCTGTTCTGTTCTGTTCTTGGCTTGGCCGCACCCGGCTGGGATGGGCCTAAAAAAAAACGTGAAAAGTCGTCTGGGGCCACCGGACCCGGTCGGGCCATTTATAATGCATTGCACGGGATTGGCCTGCACGAGTGGGCCCAGCTTTTTCCATTCCTGTTCTGATGGGTGTAAACACATGTTGTTGTCGCACACTCGCACTCAGGTTTACACTGAGGAACAAAATTTATAGCTAAACTGATATTTTTAGGTCCTACTGTGGCTTATTAAAAAATAAATATTAATATGTCAGAGCATAAAGTTACATTATTTATTATTATTATATTAACAAGTTAATAATAACAACAAATATTTAAATGAACATTTACCAAATATTTTTAAATGGATTTTCCTAAAAAAAAGTCCAAATTAATTTATATATATGTTGTAGTATTTATTAAACATTTTTCTCTCCTTCCTATATGTTACAATTTACAAATCTTTACTTATTTATTTAAAAAGAGCTAGCCTTAGTTGTAAAACAAAAAGCTAACTAGTAACTAAGATCAATAGCAACTACCGCTCGTCTAGAATAACAGTATTATTTTAATTTAAAACTAATGAATATATGATCTCAATTTAAACTTTATGTGACCATGATTTCTCTGAGTGCAGAGGCTACTATTTGTGTGCGGCCAAGCGTGTGGCACCTGAATGTGAATTAATGGCAGTGGCGTCTATCACTCCCCCGGTCGCAGACAACAGCAGAGGCCCCTCACTCTCGCTGACATATTCACACGCTCACCACGGTGTCCTGCATGTCCTGTGTGTTCTGTGTGCCCTGCTCCATGTCCTGCTGCATGTCCTGGCTGCCATCATCAGAGTTCCCAACGTCAGCAGTGACCACTCTCGTGTTCCTGTTCCCGCCAGAGCCACTGACAAACGGCTATTGCCACCGAAGCCACAGCAACTCCGCATCCTGCTTGACTTGCTCCTGGCTTTGGCTTTGGCATTGGCTTTGGCTTCTCTCGTCCTGGCCGGGCTTCTCCATGTGGCACGTGTATAGTATATGCCGGCGTTGTCACGGTGTCGTGGCTGCGGGCCGCAATATACAATTTTTGGTTATTTACATGTTCGGGATAACAAACGGCTGGGAGGGGCACTGTCATAAGTGCGGCAGGTTATCTCCGCGGTTCCTCGTTTCAGGACACCGAATGTTGATGGGTCAGTGGGCAAGGGTGTGTGTGTGTGTGTGTGTGTGTGTGTGTGTGTGTGCAAAGTCAGGGGCTCTGTTACAAGGGGCAAAAACGTTTATATTATTTCCCAACCACCAAAGTTATTCGCGCTAGTAGTGCAGCCACACATACACCATTTAATAATTTATATGTAGGTAATATATTTTATCATTTTCATAAATCCCCCTCCCGTCGCCTTTCTTGACCTTTGCCAAGGGGTTAAAATGAACTTGTTGCCAAGCGACCAGAACCACGAGCAATTTTTCCTTGTCACTACCAATTTGAGTAACTGGAATTCGCGGAATTCCTTAAACGTTGGCTAAAATTTTGAAAGTGCATACTTGAAAAGGAATAAGGATCGCTTGTAGATACTCTGCTATTAAAATGTTTAACCAAGAAATGTAATTATGTATAAATAGTTTACATAATACTCTTAAGAGAAAAATGAGAATGTCATGAAAATGCACATTTAATAAACGACCGTTCTATGATATTAAAAAGTTTAAGAATAAGTTTCTAATTGTATTAATGTAGATATGGTACAAGTTTATTAAACATTATAAATTTCCAACTATAATAGTTTGTTTAAAATAAAAGAAAGCCTTTAGGTTAAAGTATACAAGCACTAGACAGTGAATTTAAATCATCAAATACACAATAAACTGATTTTCATATAAAACTAAGATATTTTGGCTTTTAAAAAGTTAAAATCAGTTGAAAACATCGTCCTATGCCCTTGAATTTTTCTGCTCTGTTACCTTTTCTAAGAAATAAATCGCGAACACGGCAGCTCAGACAACTGCGACAGCCGAGGATGTCTGGCGAACTTGAGGTCTTGTCTTATCGACTAATATTTACATATTTATTATTTAGACTGAGCAAGGTCTTGGAGCTATTAATAGCAGAGCAACTTGGCATGGCCTGGCACCTAAGTAATGTTTCGATTGGAAATTGGCTGAGTGCGCGCAAGGATACCAATGGAAAGTTTGTCATAATCGAACATTTGAATTGAAAAGTGTGTGTGTGTGTTCGAGGAGTCAGAGGATCTAAATGGAAATTGAAATTTTTTGCTGTAAAATTTCCTTGTGGCGAGCAAGGGGCGATTTATGTGTTTGACTTTACGCTGCAGTTGCCAGCCGATTTGTGGGTGTGAAGTGAATGTGAGTGCTTATCAGGCACTGCACAGCGTCCTTTTTTGGGGCACTTAATTTCGGCTGGCATCCTTAACGGACGGGGAATGGCGGCAATGCGCGACCCGAGAGCTTCTTTTGCCGATTTGCAGTCAATGAAGTAGAAAGCTGAAAACTTTTTCTTTCGAGTCTATTAAAAATAATGGCAGCTGAAAGCAGAAGCGCCAAGTGCGAACTTCTCCGCATGTGAGCGTTTGCCCACCGTCTCTTTTTGTCCCCTCACAAGCTGTCTCTTTCTACCGCCAGTCTTGCTATCTCTTTCTGGTCCCCTTACTCGCTGCCTCTGTCTCTATTTTTGCGTGTGTGAGTGCGCGAGACAACGGCGGGCATTGAATTAATGTCCTCCCTGCCATTTCTCACGAAAGCCTGGTCGCAGACCCGGCCGTCCAGTGCATTGACCACTTTCGACGGCTTGCTTTTAAAGCGCTCCATTACCCCTTGGAAAAATCGGTGCTATTTGGTCTTTTGGAGTACCCATTGGAAATGGATTTGTATAAGGTATAACGACTTGTTTTGTTACAGAAAACCAGATTAGCAGGGTACCAACAAAAATTCGATGGATTCAAAAATACTTTTACTGTTCTCCAAGAAGAATGTCCCAAAACAATTTATTTCCAAAAAGGACTTAAAGTCTTAAATTACTTACTGTTTCAAAATCAATATATCGATATTTTTATAAAAATATTTTGTGTTTCCCTGCATTATGTGATTAGTTATGAGATATAAAAATACTTAAATAATTTTTTTTTATTATGATAACATTTTAATTTAAGTTTTTAAAGATAGAAAATTAAATCAAAATTTAAAATTCTTGATTTATTTTTTTTATAATAATATTTGGTCAATCGGCACGATCGATAAGCAACCACAAGTCTAATAGTAAATGAATTAAAACAAACAAACAAAAGACAAGTAAAATAATAATTTTAATAGTTTTATCAAAATGCTGATAAGCTTTTATTAGTTTTTTATTAAGTTTAGTTTAGTTTTTATCCCACATAGCTCCCTGTATCTTACACTTTAATTATACGCCAATATTCCAGGGTAACCGATAAGATAAACCATTTCTTTTAATCCCAAAAAGGTCTATGTACTTATTTTACTTTTAAACCCTGTCGCTGCGGGCATGCTGCGAAAATGGCCGAGCCAATGGGATCGGAGAGCAAACGCCGTGCAGGTTTTGCGGTTAATGCGATAATTTAATTGTAATGCGGGTCTGGAGTCTTGCGCGCCAATAATTTAACTTGCAATCAGCGCGGCATTTATTGGGTTAAACATATAAGCCAGGCGAAAGGGGCGAAGTCGAATACTTGCATGCCCAAGGAGTGAATGAACCCCAAGGATACGGAGCTCCAGATACAGATACGCAGCGAAAGGGAAGGAGGGAAATAAGGAGCCAAAGGATGGCAAATAAATTCAACGATTTCTGTGCAATAAGGGGACACAGTCGTAGGGCATTTTTGCACGTAAGCCACGAGGACGATGACAGCAATGAAATATGCAATGCAGCCGGGTCCTGAACCCAAGCATTTCTCCAAGGCGGACATGAGTCACGTCGAGCCAAGGAGTTAAAAGGAATGGATGAGCGAAAGTCCGAGTTCATGCCGAAAGCCAAACATTTATAAACTTCACAACCTAGCAACAGTTGCTGGGTGAACTCTGGGGATTGGCCTTTATTGTCTTCGGGTAACAAAATTTGCTTGCACTTTGAGTTGCAATGTCCGAAGGACTCAACGAGGAGCAATTGCAGGACCTGCGACGCATCCTGCTGCTGACCGTCTATAAAAACACTTTGAATCAGTTGGTGCTGCAGCAGCGTTCCCATCGCCTAAATGCCAGGAAACCGCTTGCGTTGCCCGCCTCCCTCCGGAGACGTCGCAGTTCGTCGATGGGGGAGCAGGAAAAACCGGAGCGCGTCCTCATCACGGGCAAAGTCCTTCCCCGCTTGGAATCCCTGCTTGGTGAACCGGAGAACGATGCTGATCTGCTGGACGAGGACGTCCTGAATGCTTTGAAATTCGAGCGCGATATGGATGCCCTGCGGGCGATCTTTGAGGTGGCCATGAATGATCCTGAATTGGCAGAGAAAAACGTTATTGAGGGCGAGGAACTTGAAACCTTGGAGCAGGAAACTAAAAAGGAGACAGTTTTAACTCAAGAGCAAAGATTTTTGCAATCAGAGGAGATGGATAAGCTTAGGGAAGGAAAAGACAATACCTTCCAGGACTATGAAGATATGGCAATCATGAATTTGCAATTTAATAAAGTGCAATTTACATTTGAAGAAGAAAAGGTTGTGGACACAAAGCCGCCTCTTGCCAAAGGGGACAGCATTATGTCCGAAGAAGGTAGGAACTTAAATGTTTTGGAAAATAAAGACGAGGACAGGAATGATGTGGGTCTGGAAAACCTGAAGCAAGCCATAGCTGCCTTGGGTGGCAACAAAAGCGAGGAGTCCCACGCTGCCCAGCAGCTGCAAGAGTCCAAGGACGAACTGAAAAAACTAAAAGAGGATCTGGAAAGCGAAAAGAGGGATACCAAAGCCAAGCTGCAGGACCTGGAGGAACGCATCTCCGACACCAAGTACAAGCTTCGCTGTGTTTCCCGGGTCAATGACCTCGAGTACAGTCTAGTGCAACGCTGGGAGGAGGGACGTCTGGCCCAAGGAACGATTTGGGGCGAGAACGCCGAGCGGGCCTATTTGAGAGACATTTTGGACATCAAACAAAAACTGGCGCGAGAAGAGCGAGTGAGTGCCGAACTCCGCTCCTTTCGTCAACGTGAAATCCTGGAACTGCAGGCGAGGATTAAGGAGTGGCAGGAGCGGTATGTCAGCGAAATCCGCCGTGTGGATCGCGAAGCTGAGTCCTGGGAGCTGCGCATCCTCGAGCAGAAGAAGCTGCTTCTGCGGCATCGCGAGATCTACGAGGAGCGAATGACCTATGTGCAGGAATATCGCGCCCAAAAGGAGGAGGAGCAACGGCTCCTCGCCCTGCAGATTCACCGCATCGAGTGTGCCGTCAGACTCCAAGCCTGGTGGCGGGGCACGATGGTGCGACGCGGTCTGGGACCGTTCAAGAAAAAACCGAAGCGCGGAAAGCGAGGCAAGACCAAGAAGTAGGACACTGGCGAAAATTTATTCACAACGCTACTCTACTAGTGTGCTGATCAAAAATATTATAAATAATTATATGTTGCAAACTTTTGAGTGTTGTTATAATACCCTTTGCAAGGGTATATAACTATTTTATTTAACTATTCGTGTTTTCAACTTATACCTTAATTTCCAAATTTTTACACAATTTCTGATGACATTAGCTGAACTTTAAAAATATAGTTTAAAAATGTATACAAATACTTCGGTTTAATATTAAAGAGCTTAATAGTTTGTTTAAAAGATAAACAGAATATCTGTAATTTTTTTAATTTAAATGAAAAGATTGTCCCAGTAAGGTCAAGTGAAGAACTGCCCTGATAAATGATATGTATCAAAACTAAAACAGATAGCTTACCTAAACTCGAAATGGAAATGAAAATTGGTTAAATGATATCAGAGACGAAAAAAACTATACTTGCTTTCCATTTACAAATTTTTGTTTTATTTTCCAGCGTGTACCTTTGTCGTGTGATTTTTTCAGCGTTTTCCCCTTGCTGTATGGAAAATAAGTTGTGACTTAAAACCAATTAAGAGTTGGACGCGCTGCAGTTAACACGTCAGCGGTCGGCGGCCACTGATGTCGCCCTTAATGACATGCTGCCCGTGTCAACAGGCCCGTCTCGAGAATTGTTAACGCGAGGCGATAATAACGGTCGGTGTGGGGCCAAAGGAGGGAGCACTGTAGCACTGACCCACCCAGAAGGCAGAAGTTAAAGTTTCATCTGGAGTTTCATTGTTCTCCCTTTTTATTTGTTGCTCGTTGCCTTTCTTTCCGCATTTATTTATCTTTTATGCCAGGGAATGGCCAAAAGTGGTTTATTTGTTGCGGCGCTTTCATTGGCAACACGGACTTTGGGCGTCGGGAGTTGGGGCCTAAGGGGGCGTGGCAGTGTGCATTTTCTTTTCGATGCGTGCGGAGGAGATAAGCTGCGACAATTTGCCCGGTGAATGAGTGTAACTTTTTCACTGCCGACGCAAAGGGGCGCGAAACAAAAGCAAAACTTGCCCACGAGTGTGCCTGTGTGGACATTGCAATTTAAAATATAATTAATGGTCGTTGCCGTAATTTATTGAATTTGCATTGCACAAGGCTGCATTGCTGTCATTTCTTGTTTGCCGTTTGCCAGTTTTGCCGGTTGGCCAGAGTCGAGAGTTTCCGCCGGTTTCCCACAGTCCGCCGCCATCCAGTCCAGTTTTGCGAGTGTCCTTGCGAGGCGAGTGTGTGAACATGCACTCACTTTTGTTTTAATGCACTCCGCCCGGTCCCTCGCAATTGTTCCAGGCCCACGCGGCAACAATAACATCCCGATAATGACTGGCGAAAGTCCATTTGCCGCAAAAAAAGCCCCGTTGCCAATTGGATACGAAATTGAAGAGCAAAAAATGTTGCCAGAAGCGTTCCAAAAAAGTGTACAAGAGTACGAACCGAAAATTAATCGAAGAAAAAACGGCAAGCGAAAAAAGAGATTTGCCCAATATGAAGATATTAAATGTACACGGAATCAAATTAAAGTGATTAATTTATTTGAATTTATACTCTACCATCAAGTGCTCTAAAAATATATTTAAAACAAAAGTAAATTTTAAGAAATTTGAAAGAATGGATTTGACTTGATCACAAAAGTAAAGATTTTAGTTCAGATATTTGTTTGCATTATATATTTTTTTTTTATACCCTTGCAGAGGGTATTATAATTTCAGTCAGAAGTTTGCAACGCAGTGAAGGAGACGTTTCCGACCCTATAAAGTATATATATTCTTGATCAGCATCACTAGTAGAGTCGATCTAGCCATGTCCGTCTGTCCGTCCGTCTGTCCGTCTGTCCGTCTGTCCGTCCGTCTGTCCGTCTGTCCGTCTGTCCGTCTGTCCGTCCGTTTATATGCAAACTAGTCTCTCAGTTTTAAAGCTATCTGCATGAAACTTTCCCAATAGTTGTCTTTATATTGCAGGTAGTATATAAGTCGGAACGAGCCGGATCGGACGACTATAGCATATAGCTCCCATAGGAACAATTGGAAAAATAATTGAAAAAAAATTATAACTTTGCTGTTTTTTAATTTTTTGTTTAGTTCTTCGACATATAGCAATGGTTAAATATTTCTGAATTATGGTTTAAATTTCATCAAAATCGGACGACTATAGCATATAGCTCACATAGGAACAATCGGAAAAATAATTGAAAAAAATTATAACTTTGCTGTTTTTTAATTTTTTGTTTTGTCCTTCGACATAAAGCAATGGTTTAATATTTCAGAATTATGGTTAAAATTTCATCAAAATCGGACGACTATAGCATATAGCTCCCATAGGAACAATCGGAAAAATAATTGAAAAAAAATTATAACTTTGCTGTTTTTTAATTTTTTGTTTTGTCCTTCGACATAAAGCAATGGTTTAATATTTCAGAATTATGGTTAAAATTTCATCAAAATCGGACGACTATAGCAAATAGCTCCCATACAAATAATAAAAATATATAAAAGAACAATCAAATAATTAAGCTGCAAATCGTCATAGCTTCAATGTTTTTAAACATACACGCAAGTAAATCATAATTTTAATGTTTTCAAAAATATTTAATTCTTGCGATAGCTGCAAGGGTATATGAACTTCGGCTTGCCGAAGTTTGCTTTCTTTCTTGTTGTAGATTATTTTTCTTAGATTTTTAAGGTTTCAATATCCTTTTATTTAAAGTTTTGTGGTATGGCATGATTTTTTTGCACATGCAATTTTGTGGGAGATTTTATTTTTAACTTGAAGTGGTTTATGTTATCTTTATTTTTTGAAATTTCATAGTATTACGTAATATACCAATTTCAAAGAGGAGTAAAATTCAACGTGTTCGGCACAGGCCACCAAATGTGGACTCGGCCGGGCCTATTGTTTGGATGGCGGCGGATGAATTAATGGAAGATGGGGCTCCGGTGCATGGCGAGTATGCGAGAATGAGGGCAGCAGACAAACAATCTTCCATGCTTTTCCCATTTTTTTTTCACTTCATTTTCCCGGCTATCTGGGCATCTCTTTTGCTCGTTTTGGGCCGCTCCAACAGGCAACTCATTCTCGCTTCCTGCACTTTGCATGCCCCGCACTATTTGCAACTCGAAGAAAGCGGCCATAATGGCCACTGCCTCCCCCGACGACCGTTTTCCTCGGTAACTCCCCGCTTTCCGTGTCATGTGCGTTACTTAAAACATACAAAATGGTGTGGTGTTCGCCTTTAAAAGGGCGCCAAACTGCAGCCCCGTGAACCGCTGGGAAAAAAGGGCCAACTGGGGCACCCGAAAAATTTACATACAAATTAGGGTTAATGAGCAGTGAAATTGTTATTTAACTTCAGTTGGCCCGTTAAGCGCTTTAAAGGGCGGCACCACTTCAGCAAAAGAGTCTTCAAATGTCTGCGCACTTTGCGACACGTTTTCGAAATTCTCTTTAGCCCAAGGTTTCAAAGGGGTGACCATTTAACGCTTTACCGCCCACCGCAAAACAATAGAATTTAATTAATAATCTTGCGCATAATTCATAAATTAAATATTGCGCATACGCTGCGTGTTCTTAAATTAATTTTCATTCACATTTTATTATATTCATGTTGCAGTTTTTTATTGCTACAGCAGCAGCAGCAACATCAGATATTAAGAGTGAAAGAGTGAGAGTATTATTTAAAATTTAATCAAACACTTTAATTTGATTAACAGCGCACGTCTTTCAATATAAATTTATGGCCGCACGACGCATAATCAGAGACCAGAACGTTCGGCAGTAGAACCGGATCCGGAATGCCGGAGTGCTCCACTGACCAGCCGTAAAAAAGGGTTGACCGCCCGCACATCCATTCACCCGATCTGAACTCCCGTCTGGGCTTTCAACACATCAACGCCGTCATTTGATATGCGTACATGTGACGGGTGGGGGAGGGGGAGAGGCGGGAGCGGGAGCGGGAGCGGGAGACTAATAGCGGCACGTACGCTTGATAAAATATTTTATTGGCATGTATGGATGGCGTCCTGACGGGCCCAGCGATTTTATAGATTTTTCTAATGCTCTGGTGGCGAGGCTTTTCAAAAACCCCCATCCGCTCTCTAGTCGCGATTTGGAGTGGAAACCAGAGAGAAAATACTCATTATTGCGAGCAAATCCCATTGGGCAACAGTTTAACAAATATTTTTTTATGGAATACAGTTGAAACTTCAGGAACTTAATTTTCATGTATTAAATTTTATAAAATGTTTTTAAATCAAATGCTTATAAACGCTTGTTTCTAGAAAGCTGCAGATTTGCTAGAAATTTGACGGATATTTCACTAAAAAGGGTTTTTTTCTGGAGATTTCGAATATTTTGAATCCATTTTATTATGTCCATATTCAGAACATCATTAAAAGGACAACAATCTATTTAAAATTTAAAACCAAAACTAAAAACTGTTCAATTTAAAATAAAGCCACTTTATTAACAACGATTCTGAGTCATCTGTATCACACAATTCCATAAAATGTGAAGCAGTATTAATTTCGGAGGTTGTACTGTATTTACACAAGTCAACTTCTTATCTTTTATTGATTGTCTTCCCCATGCATTTCTCATGAAATTAGTGCAACGTCTGAGCGGCAATTTGGCAACACAAATCATTTTAACATAATATACAACTTCAGCTGTGGAGCCCAACAAACGAGGATGGCATTTTTATTGGCCTACGTGTCTTTTGTGCCATGGCTGTTGCCACAACACTATCTCGTCATGCGAATCTGGAATAAATCTTTCTTTTCATTTCATTTCTGGTGCACGGAAGTCACGGCCACCGGTCAGCAAGTTTCGGCTGCGAAATGCCATGATAAATGCCAAACAATCCGAAGCGCTGTCATCTCCAAGCGGATATTCTATTTTCGCTGAAAAATTCCATTGAATTTCGCCTCTTTGGCAATAATTCCACAATTAGTTCAAGTCATGGAAAGTGTCGAATTTA